GATTGGCCAACCGAAGGCACCCTGATCTCCCTTCACTTGTGAACCGATTCCTTGGTCTGCATCTTTTCACAGGCCGGGGCGGCTCGGAATGAGCCCATCGCCTGAATGGCCCACCAGTTCCACATCGCCGGCGCGAGCCACGCTCTCCTCGACCCGTGGTCTCAAGGAGCGGGCGTGGTGAGGGACGTTCTCACTCGGTGGGCCGAGCTCGATATAACACAAATTGGCTCTCTTGTTGCCATAGCCGGCACCCTCCCTACGGCTTGGAGACTCATGCAATGTGCCTGGCAGGAAGCGTATAGTTGTATTCGGCGCTTTTTCCTCGCTTCCGTCACAATACCGGGCGGCGACCCGGTTAACCGGAGCGTCGTGAAATGGGTCCTCGCCAACCGGCCCCGGCATTATCGCGCCTTTACCGGTCGTACCGAAGTTGGACGCGCCAACCCAGACCGTGCTGCCGCTCTGAAGAAGTCGCGCCATACCGTTCAGTATTGTCCACACTGGAACACACGGTGGCTCTGGTTCAAAGGCAACTGTTTTGTCGTCACCCGTGCCGTTGGAGATTTCAATTCTTCACTATCGGATCCCAGCTACGATGGAATCGGAGGCGAGGACCTGACAATCAGCTGCTTCGGATGGTCGGCGCATCCTGTCCAGAATCTCATCGAAGCCTGCCGCGAGTACGCCGACAGGCAGACGCAGTACTTCGTCATCATCTACTCCCGCGACCGTTACGGCATGTCTTGGAAACCTAAAGCCCGCAAGCCCCTCCGCCATCTGGACACCGTGCACTTTGACCTCAGCTTGAAGCAGGAGTTGCTTGCTGATATCCGGAATTACCTGGATCCGAAGACTCAGATGCGCTACCAAAGCCGGAGTATGCCGTACCGGAGGGGCTACCTCTTCTACGGCCCGCCTGGAACTGGCAAGTCCTCGCTTTCTGTGGCGATTGCCGGCGAGTTTGGATTAGATCTCTACGAGGTCAAGATCCCCAGTGTGGCAACGGATGCCGATTTAGAGCAGATGTTTCAGGAGATTCCGCCGCGATGTGTGGTTCTTCTCGAAGACATCGATGCCGTGTGGGTGGAGCGTTCAAGCAGCCATGAGAAGACCAGCAACGGGAATGGACGAGCACATTCACCGGAGAGCAGCAATGTGCCCAACTGCACTCTTTCCGGACTGCTGAATGTTTTGGATGGCGTTGGATCGCAGGAGGGCCGTATCGTCATCATGACTACGAATCGACCCGAGCAACTCGACAGTGCCTTGATTCGGCCCGGCCGAGTCGACATGAAGGTCCTACTGGGCAACATTAGCCCAAAGTCAGCGGCGGAAATGTTCGTGCGGATGTTCTCTCCCGAACTAGGGTGCACAACACACCTGAAAATGGAAGAAATTGAGAAGCTTTCTGTCCAGTTTTCCAGCGTGATACCGGAAGACACCTTGACCCCATCTCAATTGCAGGGGTTTTTCCAGGTACATCTAGAGAGTCCGTATCATGCGGTAGAAAGCATCGCAAGTTGGGTTCAAAAAGAACTTGCAAGAGCCCACTTCAAAGAGTTCGAGTTTATAACTTCCAATGGGAAGGCTTAGAAGTTGAGTGTGTAATAGCTATTTGCCTGACTGTACTATTATATGTATGGCTGGTTCTAGACCCTGGATGGAGTTTCGTTATTTCTTTTTCCCCCTGTTCATTCGTTTGCCGCTATTGTTTGTGTTGGGAGAGAAGGGCTTACGTTAGATGATGCCAGCAGTAAATGCATTCCTCATGTGTGTTCTTTCAAAGCTATGGTCGATGTAGCTATCGGCGCGCGCATCGCATTTTCTACAGAATATTATTGAACACCCTTGTAACGAATGATGACCAGGCCTCTCTTTCGTTTGGTCTATCTACTCTGTTGATTCGGTGCCTAAGCCAGTACTCATACATACTTACCCTGCCATCTTTGACCCAGAGGGCTTGCACACCCAGCCTCTCAACTTCAATGGAGTGGAAGTAGTCTGACATCCCCAGCAGTGCCTCCTAGCATCAATACTAATCAAGACCCATCTCCGGACTGCCGTGACCCATCTCGTCTGTCTACTAGTTAGCCTTCCAATTTCAAACGCGGGTTCCTCCGTGACCAATGTGGGGAGAGAAAGCTCACGAGCTCAAAAGCCTAAATATTTGAGACGACAAAGGAACCTAGACAGTTTCCGAGAACGAAATCGTCGTGCATGAAAGGCAAGAGTAGCCGGAATTTTCATACAGCCGCTTCCACACTCCGTCGACATGGGGACAGGGTCGTGGGCCATGAGCATGGCCCTGCCTTGGCGCCGATGGGTTCTGGGGTGGTGGCCATGAATGGAGTTTGCAGTATTTGGTCTTCATATCCCGGTGATATATGTCACGAGGCAGGCACCGTATTGTATGTAGAGTTCACGGAGGGCTCTTGGAGCCGATGCGAGAGTGCGTCATCTCATCGGACGAAACCACCCCAAATATACAATTCTGTCGACTGAGGGACTCTCCCTCAAACGGACATCTGACGAGGGCTAGTGAAAAGCAAAACAGCCTCGAATACCCTCATCAACTTTCCGCAAATCCAACTAACGGTGCTGCAAGTCGGCGCCTGGGAGTAGTAGTTTTTGTGAAGAATAGCGGCGTCGCGACACTTCCTCAGTCTTAAATAAGAAGGTTGCACGACTAACGCAGGTTTCTGAAGCCGTTTCGCGAATACACGAGTTCCGGAGAAAGTTGGAGAATATATCTCCTTTCTGCTCACTGTCATGCTCCCAAAGCCGCCGTTTCTGCAAGCCTTGGTATACTTTTGATGCACTCTTTGGGCGGATTCGGATGGCAAACCTTCCTGCCCATCACCAACTAGCTAGGCTCGAAGCGTGCCTTGTGACAAGGCGCACTTGAAGTCTAACTTTGATCCATAATCAGTCTGAAAATGATTGCCGTTTGTGGTCCTAGCTTTAGGCAATCTTGGAGGAAGAATAAAGAGGGCTGATTTCCACTCACGGCTTTGCTGGTGGGTAGGCGATTAATCCTCTATGACACACATCCTATCGTGTATTGGCCTTGCAAAGCTTACATTTCAACTGTGGTAATCATGGTCGCTGGGCGAATCTTCCTCATCCTACTGCCTGTGGCTGCTACTATGCCCTCATCCGACTTCGCACCCAATTCCCTTGTCCGACGACACTGCGTGGAGCCTAAAAACTGCGGAGCCACTATTCAAGGAACGATGTGCAACTTTTGTTGCGCAAAGGATGTGAAACCCGATAGCACGCACTGCAAATCTGCGAATGCGGCGTGCCAGGCTGGTGGAAAACCTGATGGTGTCACGTTCAACTGTGATGCCGATTAGTTCAGGGAGACGACAAAATCGGAGGTAGGTCAGTCAACCTTCCAAAACTCTGTATGACCTCTATTAATCATCGCTAATGAGAACGAGAAGAATCTTACACCAGTCACCGACATCGAACGTTGAATCACGGCCTGTGGGAAATTGACAAAGTCTTAGCAGCGTTCTTGGAGGCTCCGAGAGAATGGTTTCGCGAGGCCGATTGTTTGTGTTTGGCGTGATCCAAAACATCATTAGGAAATTATTGGATTAAATTTAAATCATTGGAAGAGAGATGCTTCACGCTCTCAAACTGTGGGCTTCTCAGTGACTCTCTGATGCTGTTATTCCCACGTGATCTGCAGCTACCTTGAGTCTCTAAATAGCATTCTTACCACTGTAACTAACCACGTGTTGATCAATTTCGTAAGTTCTCCCTTGCTTGCATTGAGTACCTAAGTCACGAGGTACTTGACGATCATATCTCTTATTTCTGACCCGGAAGTCATTCTTAGGACAAAACTCATGGTCCGATTCAATGCCCGCAGACTGTTGTCAAGCGGGACAAACATCCGGCCAGTTGAAGCCTTGACCCGAGGCCAGCCATGTGTAGGAAACTTGACCCCGACTTGCTTGGCCCAATGAACCCAGTAGGCTGCATCCTGTCTATGTTTTATGGCTCTACGTAAAGATTAAGGATCGCTCTATCCAAACTTGACTACTTGTCCGGCGGTTTCGGTCTTGATAACCATAGGTAAGCAACTTAGTTCACCGTGCAGCCGGTATCAACATGTCTTGAGCGGGTGGCGGGCTTGCATTCATTCATATATTCTTCAGGTGATTGACTAGCCATGGTTTCTACCATTGAGGCCATTTGGCTGAATAACACAACTCTATGTGACATCATGGTCCCCTGGCGGTCTAATATTGACTAGGCCCTTGACGACCGACCATTCTATACTACAAGTCTGCGGCACGAAGCTTCGACGAGCAAGCTACGCTTAAAACGTCTCTTGTAGCTCTGGTCCTACTTTCCGTTGTTCCCAGTGGCTCCAAGGCATTGTCTTCGGGGCTTTGAGCAAGATCCGAACACAATTTCTCCAATTATGAAGAACGACTTATTTATTAACATCTACCTATCTTCCTTTGGCCAGACTTTTGGTAAATTGATGAGTAGCATGGGTGTTTACAACTGTTTTGTGACTAGCACGTGGCTCCGCGATGAAGTACTGCGAGATTTCAAAAGAAGCAGGGGATCCATCCCCTGAGTAAGACGTCTTACTCAACAAGAATCACGAAAAGTCGACTTTGCTGAGGGGTCACAAAATGCCATGCATTGGCTAAGATTAAAGGGGAAGGTGAGGCTGTTTCTTACGTCATGCACGGCGACGCGTTATTAGAGAACTTTTGGACACTTGCCTCTCCTAGAGAGAGATAGTTGCAGGCTTGGAGAATTTCTCGACTACGTGGCTCAGTCCGGAGGCTGCCTAATTCGCACGCAATCAACCTACTGCTATTGTGAAGCTTGGCACTGATGGTGTGTCGTGAGGTTTGATTTTGGTAATCGAAAACAACGTACTTATAAGCTCGTCGATAGTAGCTAGGGTGTCAAAAAATTGTCTTTTTGTGATATTCCTATACTACGAGCTTTGTTGACGTATCTTTGAGATGAGACCTGCCGCCATTATTTCCGTAATTCCTACGCTCGCAGCTGGCTTCAACTTTCAAAGGAGGAGTCCAATTAATTATGAGGGCTACCAGGTTCTCCGAGTGAAAACCCTCAACCAATTGGCAACCGTGCAAGCCAAACTTGCTACGATTCCTCATCACAAATGGAACCACGATGTGGATACTCATATTGACATCGTCATTTCGCCAGACCAAGTCAATATTGTTGAGTCACTTGGGCTAGATTACCGCATCATGCACAGTGACCTCGGCGAGTCAATCGCCGCCGAATCCCAAGTTCGCACCGCATATAAGCGCGACATCGACGATCTTGCGTGGTTCGACTCGTACCACTCGTATAAGGACCATGTCCAATACTTCACCGACCTCCACGAAGCCTTTCCAGGAAACTCTGAGCTGGTGTATTCGGGGCGGTCGTTCGAGAATCGGACAATTCACGGAATCCATCTCTTCGGCGATGAGGGTCCGGGAAAGCCCGCTGTACTCTACCAGTAAGAACGATGGCTTAGCCGCCAGCTACAAATGTTACTGCGTAGGTTTTCAAATTCTGACGAAGATACTAGCGGTACTGTTCACGCAAGAGAGTGGATTGCAGCTCCTGTGAGTTGATGGATGACATTGATAAACGGTTGGGCATAATTGAGTTGATCGTTTCTTTGCGCAGGTCATTGAGTATATTACTCTACAGCTGATCAACGCCCACAAGAACGCCACCAATACTTCGGATTCCATCTTGAATTAATACGACTTTCACATCTTCCCTATCTTCAATCCAGATGGTAAGTCAGACCTTGCAGTCCTTTCAACAAAGAGCCTACGAACTCATACCGGAACCAGGCTTCACATTCTCCCAGGAGGTCGACCGTCTCTGGCGCAAGACACGCACGCCCCCACCTCTGAATTCAACTTGCTACGGAACCGACATCAATAGAAATTGGGAGTACGGATGGGATGCAAATCCGTTTGGCGCTTCTACCAACCCGTGTGCCCAATCCTACCGCGGCCAGAAGCCTTCCGACACCATCGAAAACCAAGGCCTAGATGCTTACGTTCGCAAGCTGCGCGATACCAGCGGTATCAAACTGTACATTGACTGGCACAGTTACGGCCAGTATATTCTTTCACCCTTCGGTTCCAAGGAGACGTGGTATGCTCCCGAGCTCGGCAAGTGGACCAAGACTGCTTCGGTGCTCAGCGAGGTCATCCGTGACAGCTCCGAGAGACGTACTACTTTCACATTTGGGCCCAGCGGTGCTACCCTCTATACCACCACAGGGGCAGCACCTGACCATGTTTATGCAATTGGCGGCGCGGACTTTTCCTACACCATTGAGCTTCCTGATACAGGCGATTTCGGCTTTGTCTTACCTCCCGATCGCATTCTTGGCGCCGCGGAGGAGCAGTGGGAAGGACAGCAGGTACTGTATACTTTGTTGGACGAGGTGTTTTTTGATGGAATAGGAGCTGTCTAACTACTCACCTGCGCCATGTGAATTGAACCTGTAAATAATATTCTGCACTTCCGTAGCCATCGCGATGAGGTAATAGCCGACATCTCCCTACTTCTGCTTAGCTATCGAAACAGATGCCGGCAGTAAACACATGGCAGGCTGAAGCTGGTACTTTAAATGAAGAGCTTAGCAAAAGTTGATTACGTCTCCAGAGCTCGGCTATCTTAGCCGGTTCTAAGGGCACGATTGCTTTGATTGCTGAATCTCCTTTCATCTTTCAGAAAAAGGAAATGAAACCACATTATCCCCATAATCCCCACAGGTGGTTTCCAATTCGTGCAATTTCATTCACATCATCCGCTCTATTGTTTTAAGACTCTCAGTTCTGGGGATTTACGTGCTTATAGAGAACGGGCACACATATGCAAGCGAAGGAGCGCGATTTGAAAATTTGTTCAGGCAGGTGTCTATCGGTCCTAGCGCTCTCTTGACAAATCCATACCTCTGAGATGTTCTCGTGAAAGCAAGATGAGTATTGGCAGCTGGCACTTAGATGTGTGGTGGGGTGACGCCGGAAGCACAAACCAGATTCCTCATTGCTCCTCCAATTACCCATGCCGCCGGGAGACACTCACAGGATATTCCCCCAATCAACGTGCAGGCCGCGTAAAACTCATGGTTTGTCCTCCTCTTAGCTATTCCTACATAACACAATTTTTTGCCCACTGGACAGTTCTCAAGTCTGCTATAGCTTTGTCCGCCGGGTTTACAATACGTCTTTGGTCAAAATCCTCACAACTACGATTATCGACCCATCGAATGCCAGTAACGAAACACTAGGATTATTAGACATGGCCACATCGAGAATCTCCAATGCCGCATGCTTCATAGGTCTGCTTTTCGCTTCTACATGGCTGACCAGAACGCACGCGAAACCTCCACCATCCGATACTCTGTGGCAAGTATCACCGCCATTGGACTATAACGATAAGCTCTTTGCGGGATGGAAGCAGATATCGGTTGAAGCAGAGATTCAAATATACAACGGAGTGGCCGAGAATCGTACATACGCGCACCATCCGGAACTGTTTGCTATCGGTTCCGATGTCCTCCTCATTTACTCCTCTGCCCCAGTCGACGAGGATAGTATGGGCCAAGATATATGGATCTCGACTTCAAGCGACAATGGATCATCTTGGAGCTCTGGGAGAAGCCTAATGCCGGCTGCTCTTCTTCCAAACCAGACAGAGACGCACAACTGGAAGTATTGGTGTGACCGAGGTATTGCTCAGCGTGCATGGCAGGCGTTGACCTTTGTGCACCTCGAGGGCGAACTTTACGCCGTTGGCCAATCAGGCAGTAGGTGGTGTCCAGGGCGGTGGGCAGCTGCAGGTCGATTCGCACGCAAAATTTCTCTCAGCGGAGAACCGCTTGCGGACCCCTGTTGGCTGGAACAGAATGACTTCACAAAATCCGAATTGTACGCAGAGACCGTCTACGGCACTGAGTATGGCATGGAATACTGCGCCAGAGCCTGCGAAATCAACGCGGTTTTGCGAAAGCCGGATGAGGCACCGGCTTGGTCGCCATGGCTTTACAATAACGGTCTATATGCCGCTGATGGATTGCATCAAATGGAAGAACAGACATTTGCTGTTTGGCACAACGACAGTGACTCATCTACAGGAGGGTACTGGCAACGACATTGGCGCGACATCACTTCAGAGGCAAATAACACCCACTCAGTCTGGGTTGAGTACAACGCAGATCCGAAAGGGACCGGCTGGTATCCCAAAATCATGAACTCGCACGGCAATGCAATACATCAAACAAACATACCGGATGCGAAGACAAAACAATTTCTGGGGAAGCTCGACGGTACCGGCGACAGATTTCTGTTGTCAAACCCAAGATACAATGCTGCAGATCCTCAACGACAGCCACTGACCTTAGCATTATCTCGTGGAGCCGACCAGACTTATAAGTCGATTGGTGTGTTGAGAACAAATGCGACAAAGGCGATTGTCCCGGATACGCGTGATGGAATCAAGAATCGGGCGTTTGGCTTCAGCTATCCTAGCGCAGTTCAGGTTGGCAGGAAACTGCTGATTGCTTACAGCGAGAACAAGGAGAACATTTGGGTTAGTGTTGTTGACATATCTGCACTTCCATAGGAGGTCAATCAGTCAGATTGATGAGCTGCATCTGACTACCTCATCGAGACCGCTATCTACCTTATGTGTCGTCGCAGTATTATGGTAGAATTGGTAATAAGGAGGCAGCGAAGAAAACGAAGAGTCCATTCCACATCAGCGAGACTAGCTCCAGTGTATTCAAGTGTGTCTAGTTGCATTCCTTTACTACCATCTAATATCCATCAGACCGGTATGTCTGGATGTGACTTCTGCATGTGATTAGATGCGAAGTTGAGGGCCAAGCTAATTATGACGTCAATGACTGGAGGTGTACTTCTGGTGTGCGGTCAACCTGCAGTCGTACCCAGTAGGTCGACTGATGCTGACTATTACAAGACAGGCACAAATCTGTCACCATTGGCCACGGATGGTCCCGGCTTTCCGCGGAATACAAATCCCGGCATCTCCACGACATTAAAGTAACGCGTCAGGTCTACAGTATACCTTCACAGCCTGGACTTAACATTGCGCCAAATTCCATAATTCTGTGTATGTCTTTTCTCATTTTCTACCAAGACAGCATCAAAATTATTCATTATGCCCGAGAAACTTCTTTTCACGGGCGCCACAGGCTTTATGTGCGCTCCGTGCCCTTTTCCGACTCGAACTTGCCCTGTCAAACTGACTGCTTCGTAGAGGTGGCACTGTTCTGACACAGCTCCTAAACTCTTCTAACAAAGACATCAATGCACTGTCGATTACCGCTTTAGTTCGGGGGCAAGAACAAGCGGATATTCTGAGCCAGAAAGGCATCCATGCCGTCCTCTTTACGGGCCTAGATGACTCTCAATTTTTGACGAAGATTGCAAGTGAGCACGACTACGTTATCCACACACCAAGTGGCTTCCATACAGGCTCGGCTGTAGCTCTTTTGGAAGGGCTAGCGGAGCGGAAGAAGCAGACGGGAAGAGATGTCCACTTCGTTCACGTAAGTTTTCGCGCTATTCCGACTCTTATTGTAATATCTTTAACAAAACATGGATGAGCCAGACATCGGGAACGTCCAACCTTGCTGAAAGAACGATCACCCAGCGGTCGGGTGACATTCATCAATGGTCAGATAAGGAGAAGGTATACGAATATGAAGAAAAGAAAGAATCCCAGGAGGCTTACGGCCAGCGAACAACAGATATTGCTGTTGTTAGGACTGCAGAGAAGACCGGAGTCAAAGCATACATCATGATGCCCCCCACGGTCTACGGGCGTGGCACCGGCCTCTTCAATCAAGGATCCATGCAAATTCCTAGCATCATTCGTGGCGCGATCAAGGCCGGCGTCCCTGAATACGTCGGCGAGGGCACAGGCCGTCTTGGGCATGTCCATGTTACGGATCTTGCAATACTGTACGAGCTTATCTTGAGCAAGGTCCTCTCTGGAGAGACGATTCCTTCAGGCAGGAGAGGTATTTACTTCTCTAACACTGGCAGTCACAATTGGCGAGATCTTGCGGCCTTGGTTGGTAAAGCAGGTGCCTCGCTTGGTGCTTTGGAGTCAAGAGAGCCTCGTTCGGTGAGCTTGGAAGAAGCTGGATCAAGATGGCTGAATGCGACACCCCAGATTGCGGAGATGAATTATGCTGCACAGTGAGTCATTCCAAGTGTGCCAACCAAAGATTTAAGTGAGTACAAGCAGGGATTAATTTCTTCAGCTCTTCTACGAAGCCTGTTTTGGCACCAGAGCTCGGTTGGAGGCCCATGAAGACAGAGGCCGATTGGGAAGCTTCGTTTGTAGAGGCGTTTCAAATGGTTTTGGACGAGCAGGCCCAGTAATCATAAAATTGGTCTTTCAACTACTATTCAGTCTGCTTTGTAGGACTATCAAAGCCCTGTGGGTCTTGTCTGCTGTCAGGCCTCGCCGGATAGGGGATAGCATAAGGGGCATTAAGAGGAGGATCAAGCAACAAAGGAGCAGCTCAGGTATATGTAGAGCGCTGAGAGTATATTTCGAGGGAAGGGCAGATTTCAGTAATACATCTTCTAGACCCTAAGAGCAGTTAACCTCTGTGAGCTCCTTCCCTGTGTCGTGCACCTATTGACATCTGCTCACATTGTATTCTACTGGAAAGTCCTCTCAAGACCTGTAATTGGTCTGATACCAGTGTAGGGATGGATCCAACGAATATATAGTCCGTAACAAATAAACAACCCCATGCTATCTGTGGGTATGACAAGCTTTAGTAGACATACAAGTTCAAGGCATCTGGGTTAGACGCCAAAGTTTTCTTGTTCTGCCTCTGTAGCGCAATCCTCATGATCCAGGCGCAAACAACGACACCGAGAGAGAAGCCGATACTAGCAAGCATTGCAGTCAAGTATCGTGGCTCATCTGATTCTGGCCACAGGTATGGAGTGTAGACGCTAGCAAGGTTCCCCAATGTGTTGGCCATGGCGATCGCAACGGCCTTCTTCTCATCCGTCTGGCCTAAAGTTGCCGAGGTCCATCCGAGAATGATATTATTCACCTAAAATTCCGTTAGGATGAAGTAAATTTTGTGGAATCAAAATCGGCATTTGGATGAACTAACCCCATACGTTGCTCCAACGAAAATCATGATACCGACATATCTAACAGTAGTATTGAGTGTGGCCACAGCCATGGCGAAGCCCGCACAAGCAATGAGCTTGCTCACTGTTGTGTGCCATGTGCGTTCATTGAAACGGCCTGATGAATGCGATACAACAATGCTCATGATGCCAGCTAGAATGTACGGCGGGCACGTTAGAACTAATGTGATTGTGGTGTTGTAGTGAAGGGTTTTGACAACGCTCTGTCTCCAGTCAGCTTATTGTAATCTGAAAGATCAGCTATGGCTGCGAATCCTTACCGGCAAGAAGTTCTTGAAACCATTTGCGGAAAGGTGCAAGTTGTCCATGAGACAGAAGAGCCATGTTCTCCAATCGGTACAAGCCTCGCGCAATCCTTTCCAGACACTGGTGCCTCCCTCGCGACGATCGGTCGTATCGTCGAATATGCGCTGGTGTGCCATATGTCGTTGCTCAGGGCTGAGCCAGCGAGTCTGAAGCGGAGCGTCGGGGAGGAAGTAGAATGCCGCCATCGCCACACCAATGGACACAGCACCCTGGACAATGAATAGCCTACAACTGTGAGTCTCCAATCTGAGTGGGGTGAGCCGGATTCTATCATACCATTGCCAGCCTGCAAGGCCGTGCTTCCCATCGAGTCCGGCGAATATGCCAGCCGCAATCAGACCAGAAAAAGCGCTAGCTAGCATGTTGCCAGTGTAAAAGACAGCCATTCGAGTCGCAATTTCCTTGCGTGTGTAGAACATGCTGAGCATATAGAGTGCGCCAGGGTAGAACTAGACTAATGTCAGCCCGTTCATGTCTTCGATGTCGGCGACAACAACGATCAGATACTTACCGGAGCCTCTGTGATACCGAGAAAGAACCGGCACACTAGCATTGTCTTGTAGTCGTGTGCAAGGTACGTAAGCAGACTTATTATCGACCAAGTCAACATGAAGCCTGCGATGTGACCACCCATTAGAACTACGCGTTCTTGATTGGATGCTTGGCATACATACCCGCCATATACCAGGAGGGTCGCACTCGGTTCAGGATCATGTTCGAGGGGATCTGGCCACACAGGTATCTACCGACATTGAGATTAGTGGCCATTTGGTACACAAAGATACATAACTCACCCAACAAATAGAATGGATACGCAAGTGTTGTACTCAGTTCCCTTCAGCTTCAGGTCTTCGGACAGCGAGTTAAGCTTGCCATTGATCATTGCGTTTCGGTCGAGGAAATTGAGGAAGTACATGATCCAGAGAATAGGCTTCGGTCGAGTTAGTAAAGGAAGCATTTTCCCAACCATCAACTGAAGCTCGAACCAGAATGTAGAAGTCAATCTTCTTCACGAGTGCAATCTCCTTGGGGTCGGTCTTGGTATGCGCCCCAAACTCGTCAACCTTGCCAATCTTGGCGACAGGCTTCTCGGCGCCTCCATTAGAACCGCCTGTCAAGACACGCTCCATTTGTCTGACATCTGCCTTGTCCTCTTCGGACTTTCTTGGCTCAGTCATTGTGCTTTGATGACTCGGAAAGACGCTGGCATTTGAACCCTTTGTGCGTTGTCTCGACACCGGTCAGATCGTGGGATGACGTGGCTTTCGAATTGCGAGACTTCGGTATTAGACGGTAACACTTCCAAGCATCTTTTCGTCTGTGCAGAGCCTCTCTATATAAGGTAACAAGGAAAATCAGACTATCTCATCTCTCCGTTGGCTCCGCCTGAAGTCACGATAAGACCGACTCCCCCAAGTGGAGCGTTCCCCCATGGGGGAGATGGGGCGCCGAGCTTTTCCGCTCGTGCGGGGTTCGGGGAGATGATGGTCTTCAATTCGGACCCTGCACTAGTACCGACATGGTAGTGACCTGGACGCGTGTTGACAGGGTCTTACATGAAGAGGATGCGACGGAAAACCACTTCTCCAAATACTCCGAACCCATTTGAATCTTCGGTTATGAACCTGGCCAGCTTTTCCGGCTCCACCGGTAGGACAACATGGCGAGGCTCAACGGACGGAAAAGTCACACTTTCCAGGAAGGAATGTGAGTCGCATCAGCCCGATTATCTGACATTTCCACACACTGACTCTGACTTACAATTACCCACTGAATCTTTCTCAAATTATTGGCATTCAGGCCGACAGTTCCGTGGAAATGTACCTTCTGCCTCCCCTCTTTCCCATCGTCTGGCTTCGGCCTCAGTTGGCCATCACTAGACACGTACATGTCTTGGTGGATTGAGGACCCCATGAAGAACTTACCCCTACCGCAACGTACGGAGGAAAATTGCCAGACATGATGGTGAAAGTATGGGAGGTTCTTGCGAAATTCCCAACAGGGAAAGTACTGATGACTGATCAGAACTTCGAAAGCAACCGGACGCGGATAAGCTAGTGCTACGTTCAAAAGGGAGTGGATCCACCTACCCCAGATGCTGCTAAGGCCTGCTGATGGGAGGCATGCATAACCTTAGCAATACCCAGTTAGGCTGATTTCCTAGACTGACTTAGTATGGTATCGTAGCTTCGGATCCTTTGCTCGTATTACTTTGCCATGAACAAGTCAACCATGACAGGACCTCATATTCGTTGCACACTTTCCCAGTGCTGAACGAATCGCCTATTACCTCTACTTCTACTACTAATGCTGCTGCTGGAGGCATGAGCTGTACTTTTACACAATAATTTACGAGACTTAATTCTTAATATCAACAGCGTCAAATTCAAGTTTTCGCTCTCAACTGAAGCAGAAGGGCCAGATTCAACGATGCGCCCCAAGTACCAAGCAGCGCCAAATTCTGCGCAGCTTGCATGAGAACTAAGTGGCTTCTGTCCCTGTTCACGACTGTCGGGTTTGCTGAGGAGAGCCCGAAATCAAGTATTCCACTGAGCTCCGACATGCCCCGTCCGTGATATGAGAAAGCCATATCTCGGAGATGCTCACGAAGGTGCGACTTCAATGTTTCGGGGCTGCTTTTTAGAAATGCCCATTGCAAGACATGATTTAGGAAGATTCCAAAGATGCTATAAGGTGTGGCAGACTGTAGTGTCGGATTGCTCATGATTGATGTAGTTTCCATGACTGATTTGGCGAAGGCATCTAGAGACTCAAATGGCAACTCTTGGTGTGCTCCAACACAGTTGGTGTATCCGTTTGTGAAGTAGACTCGAAGTCGGCCCAGGCTTTCGTCAACAGCATTTGCTCCGCCTTTTCCGAGAGCATCTTGCAAATCAGCAACGCACGTTTGTAGTTGAATGTTTACTAGGCCACGGAGTATTTGAGATGCGCTTTGAAAGTACAGCACTGGACTTTGCGCCACATCCGGGATCGGGTTGCCACTGTACTTGGTGCCGTAGTAGCATTCCCATGATTTCAAAGATGCTGAAATGAGCGCGTCAGCTTTGGCATAGACAAGTGGAAGACAGTATGACTTACCGATGATGTTGTCCCGTATCCGCAGACTTTCTTGATGACAATCACTGCCCGTATCTTGTATCATGGCAGGGTCACTGCCGACCTGTACTGACCAATCGTGCGACCAGTCCAGTGCCTGGCTAGCCAAGCAACTCAGAACAAGGAATTGTGTCCACGGGCTGATTCTATCAGTAATAGCAGAGACTGATGGTGCCAAGTTGGTGAAACTAGCTCTTCTATTGTTCGTAAGAGCCTTAAAAACAATGCCAAACTCTGGTGCCGATAAACTCCCCAAGGGTTTAACTAAAGTTGCCCAGATTGGAGCACTCGTTGTACACCATGCGGCGTCATCACCCGGGCACTCCCACCTAGCGACCTCTGCGAGAGACATCATACTCCGCATGTTCAAAATGGCGGGGAACTGTGAGTCAATCATGAATACGTACCAGCGTAAACGGCGCTTGAACTCAGATGTTGCCCATGCCCTCCAATGATCTTCAACACGACTACCTGCGACATCCGCAACTTTCGTTTTCGGTTGAAACAGACGTCTGACGTATGTCACCAAACTTCCTCTGAATGCTTCGGCATTCTCAAATGCCCCTTTGTTTCCGCACCATAACCCAGTATACACTAGTAGTGAAGATGCATAGATAGTTTCAGGATGTCTGGTCAAGCTTTTGTCGGCTTCGATCAGCGCTTGGAGATTTTGACGAGCTCTATCGAGCATGAGTATGGAAAAGCGTCTTGTGTGCCGGATACGGCTGTATGTGGCGCCGATGATGATCATGGCGGAGAGTAAAGATGACGGCAAGTGATCAACTAAGAGCGTTGGTAAGTGAAGTACAGGACTTTGTTCATAGAAACGGTCGAAAAAGAGCCCCAGAAAGACATTCGCAACTGCCAGAGACGGCGGAATCAGATTCTCCGAGCCGGGAGTCTCAAGCTTTAGGAACTCTCGAACGCGAATCCATGTTGATTCTAGTATGTCGAATCGAGGATTATGTAAAATCATAAGAGGGTGTGACGCGTTGATAGAAATAGAATGTGTCTGACAAAGACTTTTCGACGACGGGTTCCACGCAAATGCTACTCCGTCCTCTCTAGAGGGCACGTTCGGAGGAGAATTAACTCTCGATATATTCTCTGGCCCATCCGAGATTTCGGCTAGAACTAAAGGTGTTGTTCGGTCGTCGTTTGGGGCCACTCGTGTACTACTGCCAGGCATGGCTGGATATTGACCCAGCCAATTCCAGTGAGCAGACAGTGACATCGAATCGTCTTGGAGTATGAAAGGATCACTTATATGTGATGTCTCTCTTACTGCATCGTAGAAATCTGGTGTGAACCACTGGCTTGAGTCAACCCACAGGCTATCCTGCCAAGGTTGAACAAAATACGAGAAGTCCATGTTCGCCGCTGGCTCACTGGTTGTTGCCATTGTATCTTGTGGCCTGGAGAACGCGACGTATGATGGTGAAAGAACCGAAGACGCTGCATAACTAGCCTTGGGCGTCTTGTTCGTGGCGCGGTCAACATCAAGATACTGCAGTCGTGAGTCGCCAACAAGTAGCGGGTGTGTTCCCGGTTCTCTGTATCTATCTCGCGGTTGGGACGAAAGTTGGCTGGGGTTCTCTATGATGAAGGAGTAATCCACCTTTTTCGCTGATGATAATTCATTCTCGTCACGTACTGCATCCTCTTGGCTAAGCTTCTGATGAAGTCGTTGGTGTTTCTTGAGAAGATCGCTCCGTGAGAACCTTTTCTGGCAAATCATACAACGGTGAGGTAGGTTTCCCTGGTCTATGCATTATAACAGTCAGGACTCAAGCGTCACCAGCTTCTTCGTGCTCGTTCATGAATGACCTACGCGTCTTTTGATGACGTTTCAAGTTCTCTATGCGAGTGAAAGATCGAGAACAGACCCCACAAGTGTGGCTAGTCTGTTCAACCTCGTTTGGTGAACCCATCGACTCTATTGGGCAATCTGGGGAAGCTCCTGCGCCCCAAGTCTCTGTGGAGTTGCCGAGATGTGTGAGTGATTCCGCGGGTGGACGGAGACGTGAAGCAAATTGGCGTTGAGGTGGACGTAGCGCCCCTTTTATGAGCTTCGTCCACCTTTCCCCCACACATCCGGGTGGACGCTGATCCGAAAAGAGCCTAGTGTTAGACACGCTCGGATTTCCCGAAACGGGTCTTACTTAGATGCCTATCCACACTTACTAGGCATGCCATTCAAAACCTGGGTAACTGCACGTCACTTGGCTTCAAGGCCGAAACTTATGCCAATCCAGCAATTCTGATTCATCATATCTTGCTTCTCTTGCAATTCAAATGGATCCCTCAAAGGCCATCCTGTCGGAGCCAACCCGGCTAGTTACAACCTCGAATGGTGCTTGGCGCGACGCTGAGTCAGGGGTCGTTACTCTTACAAATGGCGAACTATCAGGATCTTCGAAACAGGCATCAATAACTTTTGACTTTGGCCGATGCATTGGCGGAATTCCTACATTCTTGGTTGATCGTGCGAGTGGCGAGGGTCCCATCAGCGCGAGAATCTTTTATAGCGAAACTCATGAAGGAATCGAATGCGAAACAGGTAGAGATATTCTCCTTTAACCGTTATTGTGTCTCAACTAACACAATTTCGAGGCGATGGCCCCTACTTTTTCTTTTCCAATGCTATGGACTGTTATCGCAATGTTTCAATGACTGTAGCGCCCTCGGAATCGCAGCAAACTATCAAACCAAGACTCGCACAACGATCCCAGAGGTACTTGAAAGTTGTTCTCATCACTTCCAATGCCACTCTTGTAATCAGCAAATTCGGTTTCGAGTCAATCAGGCCAACAATACGACCCAAGGCCTCTTTCAGTTGTTCAGACGAGATTCTCAACCGCATTTGGAATGACGGTGTCAACACGCTAGAAATGTGCACCGTGGTCAAAGGCGAGACGGCCCCAGCATGGGACATCACCGACCAAGGGACCAGGGTTCTTGGTCAGCATTGGGCTCCTTGCCGCCAAGGCACGCGATGGGGCGACAAGGAAGTTTCGTTCCAGGTTCTTGTTGAAGAGCTAGGTGCGAGTTGGGGTGTCCACATGGTTGCCAATGGAGTCATCTTCTGCCTGGACGTTATCCAGGAAGAGCTTCGTGCCTTTGAGGGGATGTCACATGTATCAGCCGTATTCCCAGTCAAGTCCTTTGGCAGCTGGTCTACTCACGGAATTGTGAAGCAAGGCGAATGGATCAAGGTTTCTACCATTACGAGCGGCAACCGGATCACCGTCATCATCAACGAGAGAGAAGTTGCAACAATCACAGACGTACAGATCCGACCCCTTCTTGGAGGTTCGGGAATCAACACCGGCTCTGTAGCTTTCGGAGGTCCTGAGGGTTGGCTTGCTCTCTATCGCAACTTGGATGTCAGAGACGCGAACGGGGATTGTCTCTACCAGAATGACTTGTTATTCGGCAACAAGGAGAGGACGCTGGCAGACTTCCAAGTTGGGACGAATGCTGTATCATGCATGGTAGATGGTGCAAAGAGAGATCGAGCAACATTTGGAGGAGATCTCTTTGTCTCAGGTCGAGGCGTTGCATATTCCGGTATGGATAGTGGGGCTGTTGCAGGAAGCATCGAGCTTCTTGCTAGCCATCAGACTGAGGCAGGATACCTTGGAAATTTATGTCCTATCCAGGCCCCTATCCACGCAGGGACCGAGCCTCCTCCAACTTACGCATTCTACTCTATGACTTACGCCCTGTTGTTGGTTGTCGCCATCAAGGACTATTGGTTGAGTTCTGGAGACTATGAGGCTCTTCGGCGTTATCTTCCGGCAGCGGAGAAGTTGCTCGAGTACGCCGAATCCCAGGAGAAGCCATCGGGACTGATCGAAGTTTCACCTGACATGTCAAGTAAGATAAGAATCTGTCTCTCGGCTGCATGGTGTATTGGCTAATCCTCCGTAGTGCATTGGTATCCGCTTGGAGGACCTGTTTTTGGAGCTTCTGGTACAACGAATTTGGCATATTACGACGCCCTGAACGCTGTGAAGACTATGACCACCGACGATCAACGAAAGTCCCAATTATCTGAGAAGCTCGAGACTCTGAGAAAGAGCATTCTGACCAATCTATGGAACTCTGAAAAGGGTTGCATCCGTATGGGGTCCGCTTTGCCAGAGGAAGGAATCTGTCAGGACACGAATGGCTATGCCGTTGCACTTGATGTTGCTGAAGACAGCGATCTTTGTGCATCTCACCTCTCCGGACCTCCAGGCTGGTTGCCTGCAGCTTTCAAGGGTCTTCAACATTGGGACCGTACAGGAGTTGTGAGTCCCTACGCAACAGGATTTGCCGTAGAGGCACTATTTTCACGCCAAAGGGGTCGTGAAGCAATCCAACTGATTGAAAATGTGTGGGGTCCAATGGCGGACACGTCAAGTCCAAATTACTCGGGAGGACATTGGGAAGCGATGACAGTTGAGGGGAAGCCCTTCGGACATGACACCTCACTTATGCATGCTTGGTCCTGTTGGCCAGTGTTTCTCCTGCCGCAGTATGTGGTTGGCGTGAAGCCGCTACAACCGGGTTGGAGTAAAGTACAGCTTGCGCCAGTGTTGTCCGGTCTTAAGTCTGCTCACTATCGTACCGAACTTTCGCAAGGCGTGCTTGAGGTTGAGGTCAGCGTCGATGAGACTGCTGGGGTGATACTCATCCAGGCAACTCTCCCTGTTGGAATAACGGCAGAGATTGTGACCCCTGCTGGGTACTCAAGCGAGAGTACTGAGGGCCTTGAAGGCCCCGTTGACAAAGCGAGTATTACCCTTCGTCGCGTATGAGTTCTTCAGAGATGAATTGGAAAATCAGGAGAATAAAAGATATTTGGGGTGATCACAATCTCGCTGTGTCTTTCATCGACATAACCACATGGTCCATTTGCGCTTTGTATCGAGAGACGAATAACTGAATTGGTGGCGGGGTGATTTTTTAAGCGTGATTTCTCTTCTATAAGCTGTTGAAAGCCTCTTCGAGTGCCTTTCTAACACCTACTTTCTCCCACCTCTTTCCTTCCCTTTCAATAAGAAGTAAAAAAGAAAAATGAAGTACACTCGCTCTGAATCCTATATATGGCGATGAAATACGCCTGTTTCTAGCACTCAGCGGGCGTGAGACGCTTATCTAGCCTCTGAGATGGCATTTGACTGCTGCTTCACATCTGCTTTGGTTGTTTATTCCGCGTTCGACACGCCAGAACCATACGATGAGCCACTTTCTTGGACAATCTGAAGCCGAGCCCGGCCCAAGTCCACATTCATACTCATACGTCTCTGCGTTCTATTACCATTCTCCTATTTTATGGTAGTAGACCTGTCTAGGTCTCCTCTAGGGAATTAGTCTCAGATTGCCTCAATATTACCCATCATAGCCTCGCTTTTATAGAACCAAATTTCAACTCCATTTAGTGTCCCATTCGCATTCATGTGCAATACACGCTAACTCAAATTCTTGTTCTATCCAAAGATGTTGCATCGCACTGTTGATAGTCCACGGCTGCATTATCCCTGGGAGCATTTGAACCGCTTTCTTGAAGCTGCTGTCCACCAACCTCATTCCATTTTGAATGAATCACCAGAGCGGCAAGTACTAGTGAATTTCGGAATCGCTCTATGGCTAGGTATCACACGATCGGACAGAGTGAAATGAGTCGCAGCACTTCAAACACCAGTAGCATCTTTTATCGACGCGATGAATTCACTAAGGCGATCAAGGTCTGCTTGATAAAGAATATCAATAACATGACAACAACCTAGTTTATTTATTACTTGCATTTGTTTCTGAGGTCTCTTTTTCCAAGTTTTCTGTATCAGAGATGAGAGTCTTGAGTCTAAACTGGTGATCTCCGTTCTTCGTCTCGTTGCCGGACTGGATGCGGACCGTGGAGCATTTCGTCAGTCTTTCCCTGACATCAGGCAGCTTCCAACTGTAATACGAGGTAGGCTAAGGAGGTCCCTGGATGACTATCCGCCATTGCTGGCCTGGTAACGGTTGTTCGCTACTCCGGATGATTTCACGCCCGACCCAGGCGGAGCGAAAGCCTCCTGTTCACGAATGGGTTGCTCCGGAAGAGATATCTCTTGAGTACATGATATTTTCGGCCCCGAATAACCGGCTGTACTGGTTTTCATTCGCGTCGTTGGACAGCACATGTGGAAAAGCCACTCCAAAATACACAAAGACGGGCTGGTTCGGGGAAAGAACCGCCTTGGTGACCAGGTTATGGAGGCAACTACATTCCGTGACTTCTACGCCAACAAACCGCACACGGCTCTGGTGGCCCTGAGGATCATGGTTTTTTCCTGGTGGCATTTTCGAATAATAATGATAATCACCGACGCTGCTCATTAGGTATGCGAGTTGCATGATGATTCTTGTGCACCAAGAATGACACTTAATCTTGGCGAAGTCTTCATGCTTGAACAGTCATTGAAAGGCATCTCATCGAAAAGGGTTGGGAAAATTGTCATCACTATTTCCAACGAGAATAATATCCCTAGAGTTTTGTATCGTTAATTCGCACTGCTGCAGATCATATAATTGGACTACCTATCTAGCTAAGGAATCCCTCCATCCATTGTAACAGCCCCTGACGTCTTTGATCACTCGAGATGATAAAGTGGTTCGAGCTTAGCGTTTCTCTGGAGAAGAACATATCTCCTCACAAACCAAGGTAACCATGTACGGACCTGATATGCAGCATGGCGACGTGTGGGGACTCCAAAGATATAGTCTAGCTCTTCCAGTGTCCGTTGCCTGGTACCAAGAGTGAGTAATTGCTTCTGGCTTTCTGAGCGATATGAAGATGGACCCACTTTGTCTCTGGAATGAGGAAGAAGATGACGATGAAAGCGAGCAGGTTGAGACCGGCATAGAAGCAGAATGCCCCAGTCGGCCCAATCCTGTGTAAAAGCTCGGGGAAGGTTAAAGTGAGGGCACTACCAACCGCATTGTTGACGCAGATCGTGAATGCTGAGCCTATCTCACGATGAGACAGAGGGAAAGCCTCTGAAAAGTAAATGGATGGGAGAGGACCCATGCCTGTTCGTGTTTTAGCTTTTCTCATTTTTCTTTTTGGATTGGGAATGTAAGTCTGCTGTTTTACTGACCTGGCCCGTACATTGCTGTGAATAGATAGATGAAGAATGCAATGAGTGGTACTCTCGAGCTTGAACCTTGATTGATAAGGAAGCAAAGGCCCGAGGCTAATAGGCACCAAGCCATGTTAGGAAAGGTGATAAGAAGGAGATTCCTTCGGCCGAAAGTATCCATCATGTACACCGCCGGGAAGGCGAAGACAAACATGACGAGGCCGAATCCCATAGAGGCGAGGAGACATTGTTGGGCGGAATAGCCAGCTTGCTCAAAGATTGTCGAAGAGTAAAAGGCCATGATGTTAATCCCGCTGAATTGTTGCGAAATTACTATCCAAGATGAGGCGATGGTTGCACGGCGGAGGCGGGGAATGACAAGCAGATCGGTCACTCGCCGTAAAAGCGTCTGGCCACCGAACGCGTCTTTTTCTTCAATGACTTGCCTATGGGCGTAGTACAAATCTCTGGCAGCCATCATTTCGGTATTCCGAAGGCGACAGAAGGATTTGAAGGACTCTTGGTAGCGACCTTTTTTCATCAACCAACGAGGAGATTCTGGATCTTTGGTCAGACTTCCCAGACAAAGAACTGAAAATCACGACACATACCAGGGCAGAACCAAACAAAGATAAGAACTGGAATAGCAGGAGCAAATGCGGCACCCAACTGGAATCTCCATGCTAAATCGCCGATACGAAACCATATCAAGTTGGAGCAGAAGCCGACGAAGATACCGAACGCGACCCACAGCTGGAAGCTAGTGACGATTCCGCCGCGAATAGCAGCAGGCGCAACCTCGGCCGAGTATACCGGAATTGTTGAAATCTTGACTCCCATTCCTAGGCCCATAAACAGACGGCAAATCAAGAGGCCCCACCAATTCTGCGTAAAAGCCTGGGCAAGAACGGGAAACACACAAAACAGACCAGTCAAAAAGATCGTTCCGCGGCGACCTAGGTAGTTGTTAATAGGGTCGGCAGCCCATGCGCTCAGGAGACCGAACAAGGTCGGGCCGGCGTTGATGACACCAACTAGTGCCTGCCTGTCCACGATACCGAACTCTTGAGGGAAAGAGAGGTTGGCGCCGTTGGCACCCGTGTTATCCCATCCCTGGATAGCAGAGCCGAGTGAGCAGAGGGCGATGCTCCAGTAGAGGTCCCGGGGAAGATGCCATTTGTGGGTGGCCTCCCGGCGGAGCACATTTTTGTCGTCCTCAGTCAGTTCTTCGAACGAATCGTACGTCTCTGGGTTTTGAGCTGCGAGAGCGCCGCGATAAAAGACTTCCTCTTTTTCGCGGAAGCCATACTCGCGGCAGAATCCAGACACCTGAACGCGAAGATCTGTCTTGGAGACTCCGATGAGTGGATTGCGGATTCTACTGGCCGTGGTTAATTGCTATTTACATAAGACAAATGAGTGAATAACTACTTACTTTGCGTCGATATTGCGGCTGTAGTCTGCATCCGTGTGCTCAACGTGATTGACGTCAAGTTTTGACTTGACGTCCCCCTCGAGGTCGGATACGCGTGACATGGTGGCTGACTTTTTGAATCAAAGGAAGAATTCGTCTCTGAGGAGAAGAATAAAGTAAATCCACTCAGGAGATGATAGTAGAGTATCACGATGGAGGCTCCTTTATAACTTGATTCACATCAACCCATCCCATCCTGGTTGCTCCTCCCCAAGTTCCGGCATCGTCAGCCATGGGATCAGATGAAATATTACCGGGTCCTCGTCACTAACGCCGGACGTCTCAGTCTCATCGGCTGTTGAACGGCTGGGGGGATCCTTCGGACCTGCTCCCGTGACCAAAACACGCTGCAGCAAACCTCCCTGTGCAGGGCATTTCATGGTGGTTGTTTGTTCAGGATGGGGTAAATGCGGGGCTGCCCTGTGTGTGCCCAAGAACTCTAGAGTTTAGGTAGCATGCTAAGACACGCTAGTTTCTCTGGCCTGTGCAGGGCGATGTTTATGGAAAGTTGTTGGTCTTGAACCTTGATATTAGGCTGTTGGGGAGGCGGCCGCGTAGCCTCGACTAATGAAGGTCTTTCGCCCGACTGGAAGACTCGGGGTTCGTGGGGACATTTGGTATTAGAGTAGGTAGTAATTAATGAGTGTGGCATATGATGTTCCAAAACTAGTACAACTTCGCAGCATCATAGTCTGTCCTCAGGGCATCCCCATCAACGGTGAAGACACAACATTGACGACGTCGTCTATACCAGTGTCAAAGTCGAAGTGGGGTCGCCAGCACCCAGGGAAATGGTCCCTAGCACAGTCGTATTATGTTAGTTTTACCCCAGAGTATCCTCTTCGCCTCCTCCCACCCCAATCGTCGATGTGAACAGACGATGAACAAGGGTAAAAGCCCCCACGGTGCGGGGTCAACAGCGCCCTGCGTGTTGCCTTACATTGACCTGCGTGTGGCATCCTGGGGGCTCAAAAGGATGTTCGCATGATTGGTCCTACGGTGTTCGGAATGGGACCACCGATAAGTCTAGTGATGACTGCGAAGATGCCGCCACACGCAGGGCATGAGACAGTTGTTCTAGAGATAGCAATGCCGAAATGTTTGAGTTGAGTTATTTGCTATTAAAGGAAGATTTCCCTTGGGTTCAAAAACGTGAAATAAGGATCGAGTAACTGAGAACGCCAGGAAATAGAACGTCACGACCTCGATTACCAGCAAAAATTTACCTCTGATCCGCAATCATGGGCAGCCAGGGCGCAATCACATGGCTTGACAAGCTTGAGGAACAGAGTAAGTGAAAACTTGCGCCTGGATCAACGTTACAGAAGCCTGGACACTCATCAACGTAACACAGTAAACGTCGATGTCGATTGGATGGATCCTGAGTACATCAAGAGCATGCCCATTGTCCCCCACGACCAAACAAGCAACCAGCTTTGGGTTGATATCCAGCTTGGCCATGAATCGAACAGGCATCTTTTCCTCGAGACTGCAAAGGAATTGAAGAATGAAGGGTGGCTCGCCATCTACACTCGCATGGTATCACTACATCAATTCCTCGTGCCCTATGATGGTAGGCTGACATCGAATCCTCAGGCCGTTCTCATGTGCAAAAAGAACATCAACTCTATCCGCGGCCGAGTCCTTTTGCAAACCCTCCCCTCCAACGCGTACAAGACACAGGAAACCCTCGATCATGCACGCCTTTATGATCGTGAATTTGCCAAAGCCGGCATCGGGCGCGATCGATACTGCATCAAAATACCATCGACTGGACCAGCTTTGAACGCTGCAAAGATCTTGTCCTCAGAAGGGATTCCCACCCTAGGGACAGCGCTCTTCAGCTTGCCTCAAGCTATTGCTTGCAGCCAGGCCGGCATGCTGTACATCAGCCCGTATTACAATGGTCGGGTCAGCCCAACCACTTTATTTGGCATTATTTACTGATTTCTGTCGCAGAGGTGCGGGCCCACGATGAACCGGATGTCCTCTGGCCGAATGTCGAGGACCCAGCAACGCAACACCCTATGTCGGCACGAATCATCCAGATCATCGAGACATACAAGCGGCTGTACAAAGAGACCGGCAAAGAACAGCCACTCGTCAAGAACGCCAGGTGAGCGCATATGAAACTGTTCTTGTTCCAAGCATCGCTAAGCTATTCATTCTAGCTTCATCTCAGCCAAAGAGGCTATGGCGGCAGGGGAAATGGGATGTCATTCTGCAACCATCTCCCACACTGTCCTTGACCAACTAGCCAAGCTTCCTTACGATGGTAGCAAACAGCCAGGCGAAGGCGTGCCGAAGCCTGTTCACGTCTACAAAGACATCGGTCCGACCCCTGAGCGGCTGAAGAAGCTCGCCACCATCGACCCTCTGGCAGCGGCCGAGTGGGACGGAAACCTGGCCCGTACTGACGTTGACTACCTCGCTGATGGCGGTGCTGCGCTGCAGAAGGCTATCGAGGCCGACCCCGTTACGACGACTCGGCTCTCAGATGCGCTGAAGCTCTTCATCGGCGGGGAGAAGAGCAGTCAGGGAAAGATTGAGGAGGTCCTGAAGCAGATGTGAGACGAACGGTATCGTCGGTATGTCCTGGGTACGAATGAGTCGTGAAGTGGCGTTCGTTAGAGTACATGAGAATCCGGGACATTGAAATAGACTATCCATGCCAAGAGACCCATTGTTGAGAGTGCTGATGTAATGGTTCTTCATCTAAGCTGGTTCGAGAAAGATAGTGAGGCCTGAGCAGAACATTCGGTAGCTCGATGGAGTTCTCGTCCGGGGCAGGAAACTGAATCGTGTCCATGTTGAGAAGCAGCGCCTGCTGTGTTGGGTTTACGTCGACGAACATTCGATAGTCGGCTGCTTCTGATGTCGCAACTGGCAGAGAATCCCGTGTGATGGTAGGTGGTATGATTGGGATGTCGTCTGGACTCGCAAGGGGAGGTTCGGGGGGGAACACTGGGAGATGAGTTTGGGTAGTCTGAGGCCAAGATGTGTCGCGCAATAAGTCGTCAAGGTTTGGGACTGGGTTAATATCGTGTGTCTGATCCACCTTTAGAAGCTGCGAGAGATGAGATGCTTCGCTCGGGTGGGTTTCGATTGTCATCGCAGCCCGAGCTTGACCACCACGAGACCCCTTGTCTTCGCTGGAACCATTTCCCTCGCGTATGTGATGGCCTTTTGCTTCGCGACTAAGCATTTCATCCTCGGTTTTCATAAGACCCGCAATATTAGAAATGCTTTTCGGCAGCCGGGAACTCGCGCCGGCGTTGCCTCTCCAGACATTGATCTCTGCCAACAGCTCATCGCGTTCTCGTAGCAAGGACTCAATATCGCGAAGAGCGTCGACGCATCGGTTTTCCAAGAGCTTGTGGCGGGCAATGCTCTCATTAACGACGACATGCTTCGATAGCCGCTCGGGATCAGTGTCTGCAAGGACTGGCAGCTGGCCGGCGAGTTCCTGTGGAATGGATGATTAGTCTGGTTACAAACTTAACAGCTGCTCCTGTCTCTCCCGTCAATGCTCACGGTCAGGCGTTCCTTGAAGGCTTCGCGGCGACCCCTTTCAAAGATGCGATGGGCGGCGCGGTCATCGGCGGAAAAGTTCCTGACGCGTTTTTTGGTGGACTTTTTGCCCGGCGCACTCTCCGGCAGCGGCACAGTCGCTGTTATGCCTTGAGAGACGGATTGGAGCGCGGTCGTATTCATGGGGCGATGTCCTCATTTGAGACGGCTATTCGAGAGGTTTGGTGCCATGCGAGAAGCTCTCGACAAAGCGAACGTCTGACCGAGGATGATAGTGAGCTGGATGGGTGAAGATCAGTCGTTAAATTAAGACGAACATTGACGAGAGGGGTTTGCGAGGTTGGCGTACACAGTAGGAGTAAGGCTATTGTCCGACAAACGACCGAAGAAAGGAATACCCATCCCCCCCCCCCC